AAGGTATGTTGACTGCTCATTCCTCCAGTACCCTTTTGTACATTAATAAAATAATGCCTAGATTCTCAAACTGACCTCCTACTTTTCACACTTAAATAAACTAGAACTATTTACTTTGACATTTCTTGCAGTTACTCTTCAGCATTTTTAAACGTCATTTGATTTGTAACTTTCATAAGCTTTGTCCCATTTTGAGGCCACCTTGTTCCCTCAGCTTGGGTATCCTCTCCCATTTAATATTTATTTATTTTTAAAGATGCCCTTTCCCTCACAATGGTCTCTTTGATATGTCAGTAAACCATGTAGGGCTTATTTTTCAAGTGGCTGTTCTCTTGGACTTGTGCCATGCATTTATCACAGGCTTCTAATAAAGCACTTTTAAATAGAAATGGGCTCCAGGCTTTCTATGGGCTGTAACTTTTTAAACAATTCCTTTCATCCCTTCCCCCGCCCCCAACTGCCCTCATTCTGTCCTAGTTTCCCTTTCTAAAACTGAGCAATCAAATGATGGATTTTCCCCCTCCCTTTCCCGTTAGCAGCCTCAATGTGCATTGTAGTCACTATTGACTGAGTGGTTTACCCATGACCACTCAGTGCCCCAGTGTGGTTGCTGCACAGACCCACATTCAGTCTACTGATTCTGCAGCAGGGTTCAAGGATTTGCCAAGCATCCTAGCCCACCTGGTTGTGTCAGCCCTCACCTTCATACTGTTTTAAGTTTTATTTAAAGTAATCATTGTGTATATTTATGAGGTACAATGTGATGTTTCAATACATGTACACATTATGGAATGATCAGCTCAGGCTAATTAGCATATTTATCAGATCTTTGTGATGGGAACACTTAAAATCCTCTCTTTTAGCTGTTTTGAAATATACAAAATTTATTTTGTATTATTAACTATAGTCCCTGTGCTGCCCCAATAGAATACCAGAACTTCTCCTATCTAACTGAAACTTTGTGCCTGCCGACCAACGACTTCCTTTCCCCATCCATACTCACCCCCACCTTAATAGTTAACTGGCTCATTATCATCTGCAGGATAGAGTCCAAACCCTTTGCACCTATTAGAATGGCTAAAATTAAAAGACTGGACAGACCAAGTGCTGGTGAAGACGAGAAGCAACCGAAGCTCACACAAGGTGAGTGGGACCGTAAGATGGCACAGCCACTTTGAAAAAGTTTGGCAGTTCCTCAAAGTGCTAATGGTAGTTACCACAGATGCAGCAACTCCAGTCCTAGGTCTACACCTAAGAGAAGTGAAAACGCGTACACAAAAGCTTTAATGTAACCATTCACTGCATTAGTCACAATAGCCAAAAACTGGAAGCAACTCCAATGTCCAAGAACAGGTAAAGGGATGAACAAATTGGGGCATATCCATATAATGGGACACTACTCAACAACAAAAAGGAACTACTGATGTATCCAACAACACTGATGAGTGTTAAAACAATGACACTAAGAGGCAGGACTAAAAAGAGCATACTGTATAATTCCATTTATATAAAACTCCAGAAAAGGCGAGAATACCCTGACAGAATACCTAGCCTCAAGGGGCCCATGACGCCCCGTGGGAGGCCCCTGCCAGGCACCAGAGGGGAAGTGTTGCAGTGAGCCTTCATGTCTTGAAGGCTACAGGATGTAACCTCCTCAAAACCAAATCTCTAGGGAAATCCTTTAAACTGATTCCGTTTAAACATCTTTATCTCCCAGCTTTTAACACAGGCACATGGTGGCTGCTTCTTAATGGTCTGTTTACTAAATTAATCAAACCAGAAGTAGAGCTTCAGAAGCATCAGAGACTTAAAGCTACTATTGGCTCTGGCTGTAAGGGGACTCTATTTTTCAGGAAAATGGGATTTGTGTCCATATCAGGAAGTTTGTATTATATTTGGAAAATGTATCTTCAACTATTAGCTTCCAAAATCCCTTTAAAAATCCTTTGGAGTGTTTACTGGTGACAGCAGTGGTGATGGGATTGGCTGGTGGGCAGATGTGAGACTCAGATGCACCTGGAGACAACCCTGGAAGATGGGTCAAAACTTCCCCAAAGCTTTCTCCCGGTGATGGCTGTGCCTATCAGCCACCCAGGTGGGCCTTTTCCTGTCCCTCATAACTGACATCCTCCCCCAGATGACCTTCTCAGGTACTTGTGATAGCATTCAAATGTTTTTTCCTAGCTTTTCTAAAAAAAAAAAAAACTAATTTTTTGACATCAGTTTCATAACCTGACACTATCTGATACTTTTATTTTCCAATAAAACCTCTCAGGATGCCCTAACTGGTCTCACCCCTCTGCTGTCCCACAAACCCACCTCTGGGCCACTTTGGCCTTCACTGATCTCCCTTTCCTTAGAATTCAGTCTGGACATAACAATTTACCACTTACTTATATAGATTATTTGTTGTCATGGATTCTTTTTTTTTTTTTTTTTTTGAGACAGAGTCTCGCTTTGTTGCCCAGGCTAGAGTGAGTGCCGTGGCGTCCTAGCTCACAGCAACCTCAAACTCCTGGGCTCAAGCAGTCCTCCTGCCTCAGCCTCCCAAGTAGCTGGGATTACAGGCATGCACCACCATGCCCGGCTAAGTTTTTTCTATATTTAGTTGGCCAATTAATTTCTTTCTATTTTTATGGTAGAGACGGGGTCTTGCTCAGGCTGGTTTTGAACTCCTGACCTTGAGCAATCCGCCCGCCTCGGCCTCCCAAGAGCTAGGAATACAGGCGTGAGCCACAGCGCCCGGCCTGTCATGGATTCTTAATGTGTAGCTTTGGTTTTATTTTCCTGACTAGATGGCGAGGTTGCTTAAGAGCAAATTTTGAGCCTTCTGTTTCTCAGAGTACGTGTAATCAGCAATGATCTTTGCTTGCATAGCTAAGGAATGATTACTGATGGGCAGGGGTGATCCATCTACCAAGGTGGGGGAGCTGGCAGGCAGCAAGAACCTGTATGGGTTTTTTTTGAGAGTCTCACTCTGCTGCCCGGGCTACAGTGCCGTAACCTTAAACGCCTGAGCTCAAGCAATCCTGCCTCAGCTTCCCCAGTAGCTGGGACTACAGGCATGTGCCATCATGCCAGGCTAATTTTTTCTGTGTATTTTAGTTGGCTAATTAATTTCTATTTTTAGTACAGATGGGGTCTCACTCTTGCTCAGGCTGGTTTTGAACTCCTGACCTTGAACAATCCGCCTGCCTCGGCCTCCCAGAGTGTTACAGGTGTGAGCCACAGCGCCAGGCCCACCTGCATGTTTTTATCTGCATGCTCTGACTACCTAGACTCCTCAGGATTCCCCAGAATCCATGGGTAAACTCATGGAATATATTCTGGGACTAATTTAAATCACAAGGGAGGAGGTTGGCAAAGAGCCCTAGCTGAAAAAGTGACATCTTAAGGTCAGAAAATCACTAAGGCTGTGGAGGAAACCCATTCACTTGCAGGCCTCAGTGGGAAACAGAAAGGCACGAGCTACTAACATTTCACAGTGGAATCCAGGTTAAATAATCACAAGGCGTGTGAACACGGCAAACCACATCACTCGAGCCAGCAGAAAAGTTGGATAGAAGGCAATCTTTGGCAAGGCAGCCAAGGCTGTGCTGAGCTTCCCCAGACACTGCCTTTCTGCCAAAGCAAGCTTCTATTTTATTGGTGGTTCAGGTTCCAAAACTCACCTCCCAGGACTAAGCTTAAGTGCCTATTTAGAGTTGCCATCGACTGCCACCTCGTGGTCTACTTTACAACTGCCTATCAAGACTGAAGGTGGTTGCCAGCAGAAAGCTACCTCTGCGTAGTTTAGGATTTTTACCATCCATGTCATTTGACCAACTATATTGTCCATCTCTATGCTTGGCTCACAGTACTCCACAAACTAGATTCCCAAGTCCCCAGAACCTATAAGATGCACTTTGGTTAGGTACTGGTTTTTCTAGCTGAAAAACCTTACCTTGGCAAGCCTGTCCTTCGTCACAAGTTGGCCCAGAACCAGTGTCTCAAATGCCTTAACTACCCTCAACCCCACCCCAGTAGCACATATATACAGCAACCAGAGTCATGGGGATTGATCTGCAAGCCAAGGCTGGTATCCTGCCCAGCAGAACAAAGTCTGCGGGGTTGTCCCTGAGCTGATTCAAGGCTTTCTGGCACTGTGCCAGGTATATGGGACCATGAATGTCTTTTGACCCTATCTCACTTCCCATCAAAATCCTTCTCTGGCACCCAAGCCGATTGCACTGCTCTTGTCCACTGTCACATCATATGTTGGACCACCACTCATGAAGACTTCAGAAAAACTACAATGCATTCTCCTTTGTTCAAGGAGCCCTGGGACAGCAAGAGCTCTGCTTGCCCAATATTTACTCTAATCATGGAAAAACACAAAAATCCCAAGAATTTCAGATGCCGGGCAATTCTCTCCCAATCTATTTTTGTGCATTAATTAATTGTTCTGTCCTGTGATTCTTTGCTCACTGCAACTCCAAACTCCTGGGCTCAAGTGATCCTCCTGCCTGCTTCAGTCTGAGTAGCTAAGACTACAGGCACGTGCTACCACACCAAGCCTCTCCTGTGATTCTTACAAGCAAACCCTGAGCCTTAAGATCTGTATTTATAAATTGCTGGCCTAAACATCATTCCTGTGCACCTTCCCCATACATTGTGGCAGATTCTAAGAACACCATTTTCTTGGTTGTTTCATCTCTCCTCCCCAGCATTTAGTTCCAGATAGCAGGCACAAAACCTCAATTCTAGGCCAACAAATACTAACATCCCCCATGCAGAGAGCCAAGTTAGCACAGCCGGTCTGTGGAAGATGCCCAGCTTTCCAACTGCCTCTACGGTGCAGTACCACACTGGACACAACTCCACAGGAGGTGCTGGCTAAAGAAACAAGGGCACATGGCAACAGTAACAAGTGACATCATCCTGGACAAGGACAACTCCCCAAACCATTTACATTTCGACCCTTAAACCAGCTACACAATGCAAACAAAAAGGACACACAAGTTTTCTGGCTACAGGTTTATTCAACACAAAATAACCCCCCCCACTCCAATTTTACTGAGGTGGCTGACCACGTCCACGACCAAATCCGCCTCTCTGCAAGAGAAAGCACAGGACATCAGCATTAGCGGCATTCGGGTTCTACCTCTTTCAAGGTTTCACTAACTTTCAGGCCTCATTATCACTGGAGAAGCCCCCAAATGTAAATGGCTAGAAGAGTGAATGCAGTCCATCAGTCCCAGCCCTGCCCTTATTGGCTGTGGGGCCACATTTCCTCACTGGTAAAATGAGAATATGGCCACCTACCCTGTGTCCATCTATACATGTACGGAAGCGCCCAGCACAGGGCTTATCTTGTTTCTATTGTACATGCTTCCTTTTCCTTCTGAGAGCAACTGTGTGCTATGGTGGTGGCCAGCCATAGGACAGCTGCTGCCCTAAAAGCGATATGCCAGCACTGTACCTAGATTAGCCAATCTCACAATTACCTTGATAGCTACAATTTATCACCTCTACTATATACATGAAGAAACTGAGGCAGAGGAAACTAAGATCATATCACGTGAAAGACAAAGGATTTGGTTCTTGAGCCCACCCAATCTCCAGTGTTTACTTCAATTTCAAGCTTTGGTTCATGAAACTATTTCAGGTTATGACCATCATAAATGAAACAGAAAATACCAGTAAGCATGTTTAGATTTGTGAGACTCATCTCAGTAATCATATATTTAATAATTTTCATACTATGTCTCAATGTAAAATTTATTTGGAATTTGGGGAAAAATTGGGAATTCAGGACCCACCACACTATACCACATCCTCAACTCACAGGGCCAAATGACTGAGGCCAGAACAAGTAACTGCTTACAGACCGTGAATGCGGAGATACTTACAAACTGGAATTCGGTTGCTGACCCAGCCCCAGCCTCAGCTTTCTTGTCAGCACCAGCTGTAAAGTAAAACACCAATTTGGAGTCATCATATGATCTAATTTACTGTAGGGTAAAAGAAGACAATTCACTTGACCCTAATCCTACAGAAGAGTCATGTACCTACCACCCCATGAAGTATAAGTAAACTACAACAGATGTGAGAAACACCTTCTGAACCACCTTTGATCCCTCTCTCTCCTGGGGCACCCTTTCAAGCCTTCCTTATTTTACCGTTCAAAACTTAAACCTAAACTATTAATTCCTCCAAGAAAGCCTTGACCCTATGCTGTTTCTATGTGGTACCAGAGGACCTTCACTTCTCATCACTGAGTTATTTATCACCCACTCCGGATCAGGACCTAGCTCATAAAGGGAATGCAGTAAGAGAAAAACCAAGAGGTAAAGGCAATGGGGGCCCACAGAAGCAAAAAGCAACTTTACCATCATGAGGGAGAAGCAGACAAGATGAAAGATCCAGCCCTGCACCCTGCTACATGGAAGCCACTAGTTCATACTGAGATGTGGGCAAAATACAAATCATATTTGAAAGACTTAAGGAAAAAAGAATGTAAAATATCTCAATGCTGAAATGTATGAACATTGAAATAACCTATTTCTGCTTGCTTTTTCAAGTGTGGCACTAGGAAATTTTATATTATAGCTATGGGGAAGGGGGTAGGCTAAGGGTGATATAAAGAATATGGTTTCAATAATTATTAAAATTAGAATCTCCTTTTGGTCCATTTCAGACCACACCTACCACAGGCTCCTGTCCACTCAACTCCCTGCCCAAGAACCAAGCAAACCACTGTGTTCTCCCCATCCCCGGACCTTTGCACATCCCGAGCTCTTGCCTGAAATGCTCACTTCCCCCCAACCTGAGAACCCCTGTGGTCAGGCCCAACTGTCACATCCTCCAAAAACAGCTCCCTGACTGACTTCCCTGTGTGCTGTAACTTCTAGTATGAGTTATCAACCTCTTTTGAACCAAGGGCTGGAGGAATTCATTCTCACTATTACCCTGTAAGGCATTCAGGTCAAATAGTCGCTTCTATTTTACTTATCAGGAAAGATGACAAAAAGAGATAAGAGTGGCAGAAATTAGAAATTCCTTTTACACATTGCTTTTATGTCACAGTTAACAGTTTCTACAACAAAGAACAACTCTATAAAAGAAGTTGAATTTTGTTACTGCTCTGCCAAAATCCTGCCAATGGCTCCACATCTTACTCTAGAGCAGGAGTCCTCAAACTATGGCCCACCGGCCACATGCAGGCCGCCCAGCACATTTATCCGGCCCTCTGGGTGTTTTTGCCACCGCTGCCGGTCCTGCTTAACAGCCGACTTGTCCCAGGTCCACAGTGCGCACTCTCCAATGGTCTGAGGGACAGTGAACTGGCCCTGTTTAAAAAGTTTGAGGACCCCTGCTCTAGAGCAACACCCGGGTCCTTACCGTGGCTCACATCTTCATCTCCCGAAGCCTTCTATTGTTTAGATAAGCCAGGTGCCCCCTCTCGAGGGCCTTTACCTGGAATGTTCTCCTAGCTAGCTACTGGCTGGCTCCCCTCACCTCCTTGAGGTGTTTGCTTAAATCTCACCTCTATAAGACTTTCTCTGAAAACTCAACTGAAAATTGCCACCACCTAATCCCTTTGCTTTAATTCCCACCCCCCACACCAACTGACAGATACTTATTCTTCCCACCACTAAAATGCAAGTTCAATGAAAAGGGCCTTTGGTCTGTTTTGTAAACTATTACCTTCCCAGCCCTAGAACAGTGCCTGGCATATGCAATGGCTTATCTTCTGAATAAACAAACATTTGCTACTCAAAAACAAGACTGTTTTTGCACTGACACTTGCAGCAGGAAAACAATGAAGGTAAGTGAGCACTGCCCTCAGGGACTTTACAACACAGAACACAACCTGGAACAAGAAAAAGCATTTTGCTTTCCTCAAAATTGTCATTTTTGCTCAGTTCAAGGTCTTCAACCAAGGTTTTGTGCCCACAAGGTTTCCCTTCTAATTCCCATTTATCAAATCCCTGCATAAGGAAAGGGACTCTGGCTGTTCTGATGATCTAGAGATCGAAACCAAGATATTTCCTGGTCACCTCGGCATCTTCAAGGGCTGAGCCTCAGCCAGGGCCAACGCTGAGAATCCAGGGATTCTACCCCATCAGCCCTAATAAAGATCCATTACTCACGGGGCACAGCACTCCGCCTGTAGGTGTCTCTGTCAGCTTCCCCTCTTGTGAGTCTTGCAGGTCGCTCACCTTCCAGACCTGCATGAATTAAACCACACTGTGAACAAAGGGCAATGTGGGAACTCTGTTCCCTTAAGGCCAGGAAAACTGGCAATACTCTCCTGTTCTCACTCAGTAATCACATAGTTATGACGGGTTAATGGGGGCACGTGACTCCTTGTACCTAGAACTGTCAGCTGCAGACTTCTATTTCTCCACAAAAACTTGTCATCATTGACAGTTTAGTTCCTCAAAAGCCCAGAAAACTCACATCTCAGTTAAAATGCCACAATTTGCAAAAAGATTTTCTTCTATTTTGTTTTCAACAAAAAGGCATTTTTCAATTTTTAGCAAATTTAGAAATGTAGCTGTTTCTACAAACATCTGAATAGCCACAATTTAGAACATGACCCATCCACATGGAAAACTGAGCATGCAAATGGAAAGGAGGCATCTTAAACTCAAAGCCCCAACTCCAATATCAAATATATAATCTAGGGGTCACCAACAATCTTTTAGTTCCTCTTGGGATTTTCTGTAAACCTGTCAGGCTGTGGGATACATATTAAGTTACAGACCTCAAAAACTACTTGAAAAATTCTCATCAACACAAGAAGCAATAATTTAATCTAGTATCACCTCCACCCAATTACCTTGGAACTTACCTGGATGAATAAAATATGAACTTTAAAACAGAATGAAAAAAAGCCTCATCATGTAGTGAGAGGTAAAAACAAATGCCAGGCCCAACTATGCTTATTAAATCAGAATCTGTAAAGTGCAGATAGACACTAGTATTTTTTTCTCCATGTAATTTCAAGATGCAGTGGAGAACCTTTGCTCCAAAAATATGTAATTCTATCTAACCATCAGAACCCTTCAGGAACTTTCCCAACAAACACAGATTCCTGAGCTCTACAAAGTCATTCTTTAAGGGAACTCAGCCTGAAATTGTGTTTCAATCCCTGATCTTATCACCCCAGCCCACAAACCCTCTGCAGCTCCTACAAAGTTTGACAGGGAATCATAACCTAGTAACTGCAAGCCAATAGTGATCTCCAGAGTGAGAAGGTAATTCAACACACGGATGCTATCCTTTCACTCCATAATTATATAGATACCAATTCTCCTTCATTCTAATTTTTGCCACTGTTGCCAAGAAACTCTACAAAACTTTTTGTTGCTTTCGCATGTGATAAACAGCTTTGCTTTGGACTTTTTGGGGGATAAGTACCACCTCACTCTGCTGCAAAATAGTTACTCAATGTGCTACCACATGTCTGGATATCTGCACAAGTATTGGGGAAGAAAGCCACAGGCTAATATTCTATTCATGTTTAATGCAATGTCAAGGATGGCTAGAACACCTAAGTCCAATTTTATTACAGGTCCCAAGCCACAGGACAATGTTCCAGGTTTGGACCACGGTCCTGCATGCAGCAATCCCTCTAAAGCTGACACCAATATGTTATCAGGAACACTTCCGTCCCTCACATAAAAGAAACTATCCCCTCCAAAGGGCTGCTTCAGAGCAGACTGGACGCCATTTTATTTGGGCACCATACCTTTCGGCCGAGGTCTGCCCGTCTCTGGGCGGCTGCGACGCAAGGTGGCAGGCACGATCTCAGGGGGCAAGTGGAGATAATCACGGAGATACTGGATGCCCTCGTTGGTAAGGTACCAGTAGAAATGTCTCCAGGCAAACTGTTCCTTCACGTAGCCTCGTGACTTGAGAGACTATAAGGCAGAAAACTCGCTGTGACATAAGTAGGAACTTGGAGCTAGAAATGACATCCAAAGCTTCCTAAAAAAGTTTCCAATGCATCTCACTGCCCTTCAAAGCAGCAAGCAGCACCAGTTGTCCTGACCTCTCCTTGGAATTTGCCTTAAACATTAATGGGAAACCCCTCTATCTCCATCCCAATCCTATGGTCTCCCCCTTTCAACCCTTCACCTGCATGGCCTTCATGACATGAAGGTTGGGCACGTTCTTGTCTGCCAATTCTGGGTGTTTAGGCATATGGACATCTTTCTTGGCCACCATGACTCCCTCCTTAAAAAGGAGTTCATAAATGGCAATCCGGTTCTTCTTGGGCATCAACATCTGCAAGGAAGTGATCATCAAGAGCACATCAAGGAACAATGTGGTCAAGGTCCAGTAATCAAGTTCAAGACCCAAAAAGGGCCACACAAAACCACCACCTAACGGTTGAAAACTCAAACACAGCCTAGAAAACATGAAGGAGGGAGGACTACAAACTGCAAAACAAACTCAGACACCAGCTCCCTCCTCACCCCAAAAAGCAATTCAGGTGAATAAAAAGGCTGCAAAGACGTTCAAACAAAACGGGGATAGGGGTGCGTATTCGTTCCAGACTTCCATAAGCGCTCACAACCACAAAGGTATACGGGGGAGGTGGGAGGGAAGAGACCCTGTGTTCTCAGCGCATATGGGGGCCATGAGCGACTGTACCTAGAGAGGAACTGCGCGGCCGAACCTCAAGGTAGGCACGGAGGGCCAGGAGGAGTAAAGCTTCTTGACCGGCCGCTGATCCCAAACCGAAGGGCTAAGGCCTTTGCACCTTCAATTCCTACCACTCCTCTCCCAAACTAGAGGGCCAGGCCAGGAGACAGTCCGAAGGAGCCCTGTCCCGAAGGAAAAGCGTGCAGACGGTATGCTGTCTCGCCACGCAAATGCTTCCTCCTCCCTCGGCCATCCGGACGCCTCTCTTTGCTTACTAGCGGCCCCCTACCCCCTGAAATACGCCCTCCACCCCTTGTCGCTGCCCAGAAATGGGTGTGCGGGGAGAGTAAGAGAAGGCCCCCGCCCTGACCCTGGGGAGGAGCGGCCGCTATGGCAGCAGGGGGGCCCGGATGGGAGCCGATGGAACCCGAACTCCAGAGGATCTCACCGCGGCGACTGCAGGGTCCGGAGCCGAGGCTGGAAAGGAAGGGGCATGCGTAGCGTAGCGTCTCTTCCGGGCTGGCGTGGCCCCGCCCCCCGCCAGGACCCGCGCGTGCCTGGGGTGGCCTCGGCGGTGCCTGAGAGTCGTGTGGCTCTGACCCCGGACCCTGACAGCTTTAGGGGCATACGCAGCAGCAAACCGCAGCGTGTCTCTTTTGAGCCTGTGTGTTATATCAAAAATGGTCGCTTACGTTTGGGCTGTCGCTTTAGAAACACGCTACTTCTTTTTTTCCCGCCAAAAGCTTAACTTATTATGCTAGTACTATATGCTCTTTGTGCAGGAAAAGAGCATACAGATAATAACAATAGTAATAAAAGAATAAAAACAGAATCCCAACCAGAAAAACTCTTTCAAAGTCATACGCTCCCACACAAATACATTTTTTGACAAAAAGGATGTTTTGTATATGCAGTATGTATGATAGGTTCTGTGGGCTGGGTTTTTTTCTTACCAATATGTCGTGATTCTCTTTTCGTGTTAATAACTACAATGTTAATGACTGCGTAATAGTCCACTGGATATAATCACCCTATTATTAGATTTATATTTTTAAAATCTTCACTATTATAAGTAACAATGCTACACATAAATTAGCACCCTTGCCCAGTATTTTCTTGAGGGTAAATTCCTGGAAGTATAATTGTTGAGTAGCAAAACATGCATGTTTAGGTCTTTGACACATGCCACATTGATTTGCAGGAAGGCTTTATCAATTATACTTGTGTCAGCAATTATCGATATTAACAGGGCTTACTTCCCCATTAACCCTACTGACATTGAATAATATCACTGTTATGCATATTTGCCAGTCTAACAGATAAGAAATATTAATCTCACTATTCTTCTAATTTGCATTTCTTTGATTACTACTGTGGTTAAATATTTTTTTCTTTTTAGAATTTATGTTCATTCTGTGAAAGTTGTCAGAATTAAAATGAAGTGACTTGTGATAAAAAAAAAAAAAAAAAAAAAAACCCTGACAAACCGAGCTGGGGAAGGCCATGAAGGCGAAGTTCTTATGCACAAATGCCTGATAACAAGAACTAGACCAAAAGACTCTGCAAAAACTACAACCTTGCACAAAGGCATCGAAACCACAGAAATAAATACTTCTGGGAGAACATCTGCCCAGCAACTGCCTTTCCAAGCTCAGATTGGTGCTACCCTTGTTATTGATCCTTGTAGCCAAGGATAATTATCTCAAAAATAATATGTAATTCTCCCCATTTTTCCTTTGTGTTCCTTTACTTTCCTGAGTAACACATAGCTAGTACTGTGGCATGTATATTCCCATTGCAATGCCCATGAAATATCATTTTCTTTTAGAGAGCCTCTCTCTGTTAGGTTGACACTTCTTTTATAGATTATCTGTTCATTTCCATTACCTGTTTTTCTATTCAGAGTTAATTCTTTTTCTTACTGATATGACATCACTCTACATATTAAAGCTGTTAACACTTTGCCACATATTTTCAAGTATTTCCCCCAGTTTTTCACTTGTCTTGATTGTCATAGTATTTCAAAATATTCTTTATATTATTTTTTAAATTCCTTTTTTTCTTTTGTACAACTTTGTGATTATATATTCAAATCTTTATGGTTTCAGACATGTATAATGCTTAAAAAGTCACTTCACATCTCAAGAGTATATAAACATTCACCTATAGTTTCCCGAAGTGTTTTTGTAGTACCATTATTTAAAAGTAAGTATCTATTGTATTTTGGCCTTTTGGCTAAGATCAAGTGTAAAAATAAGTATTCATCGGTTTTGCAAGATTAAAATAATTCTGGGGATTGATTGCACAACAATGTAACTGCACTTCTGAACTGTAACTTAAAAGTGGTTAAGATGGTGGGAAAAATAAGAATTAATAACATGTTTACAAAAATAAAAAAAAGAAGCTTGAACATATGGACAAGGAACAAGATAATCTAAGGACAAGTCAAGAAATCTGAAAAGGAATAAAATAAAACTAAACAGATTAACATTCTCAAAACTTCTACATCTTTGGCGGCGTCGGTGCGCCTCATGCCTCGCGTTACACTACTAGCTTCTCTGCGCGAGGCGCTTCGAGGCGGCGCGACACTGAGCTCCCGGTCAGGCGAAGTTCCGGCAAACCACAGCCTACGCAAAGCGACGACCCCGGCCGTATCTCATCATTCACCACACTCAACCCGCCCCCACGCCCACGCACCACCAATTCAATTGCTACCACTCACACTATACATTACTAATCGTATACTCCTATATCCACCCCCGCTATCATCACCCACCAATCTCGCCAGGCACTCCGGTCGCATGCTGTAGTCCAGCTACTCTCGGAGCTCGAGCAGAAGGAATGCTTGAGCCAGGCGATTTGATGTTTGTCTCTGTGCATCTACCGCGCCCTCCCGACGCCATGCGCACCTCCAACTCTAGCCTCAGGCAACAAGAGCGACGACTCTGTCTCACAAAACAAAAACAATCTTAATTTTAGCAAGATAAACAAATCCAGATCCCTGACACATTTGAAGTAAAAATCACAGCCTGACAAGAGCAAGACCTGTGTACTACTAATACTACGACAAATACTCTGGCGCCTACGCTAGCATGCACCTGTAACTTCCAGCTAACTCGGCCTGAGCAAGAGGGATCGCTGGAGACTAGGAAGTTGAAGTTGCAGTGACGCTGTGATGATACCCACTCGCATTCCACCAGCGGCAAGAGGGGGAGAACCTCTGTCTCAAAAAAATGGCTAAACTATGCACGAGTTTGCCTCTCAGGTCCCTGCCCTGGTTGAAAACAAAGTGTGGAAGGACCCTCTTAACAATCTAATCTCTGCACACTCATTGAAAGTTCCAAGTCCAATGAACCCTGGTTCCCTCATACAAAGTAAAGAGGTTGCCCCATAAACAGGAGAGGACCCAAGCCCCAGTGGAGGGCCAGCTTTAGCAATCTTAGTATCTTGTTTCAGAAAGGGGGGAAATAAAAATGTTAATATAATTCTGCTAAAAAAAAGATTGCTACCCAACGGATGGGCACCCACGGAGCAAACTGCATTCAGGTGCACTGGAGAGCTGAGGGCGTCCTCCGGTCGCCTCCTTCACTCCCACTCCTCCTCCAGGTGACCTTAAGATCCTCAGCCTCTTGGGTGATGCCCTTGCTCATTCTAACCAGCCGCTCCCACAGGGCTCATTTCTGATCTTTCATCTAAAATTATACTGGGCATTTGCACCATGTGTCTCATGGGCACCTCACATTCACAAAATCTAAAACTGAATTCTCCTCTCATGAACAATCTAGTGATATTTCAGATAAGTAGAAGCATAGCTTATTGAGGAAATGGTCTTTTTTTTTTTTTGAGACAGAGTCTCACTCTGTTGCCTGGGTAGAGTGCCGTGGCATCAGCCTAGCTCACAGCAACCTCAAACTCCTGGGCTCAAGAGATCCTCCTGCCTCAGGCCCCTTGGTAGCTGGGACTACAGCACGCGCCACTCTACCAGCTAGTTTTTTCTATTTTTAGTTGTTTGGCTAATTTCTTTCTATTTATAGTAGAGACAGGGTCTTGCTCTTGCTCAGGCTGGTCTCGAACTCCTGAGCTCAAGCAATCCTTCTGCCTCGGCCTCCCGGAGTGCTAGGATTACAGGTGGTCTTGAGATATTGGCTAACCCTTTGGAGGGAAAATGTTTTACAGCAGAAAACATTCCAGGAGGATAAAAGATTTTTATTTATTTATTTTAAATTTTATGTCTCTCTCTCTCTTTTTTTTTTAGTAAAGTTTCTGCACGTAAAGGATAAAAGATTTAAACATAAAAAATAAAATCACATAAAGACTTTGAATATTTTTCCAAAGATAGCTGGGGAGCCACTGGAGGGAGGGATTTAAACAGGGAGTGGCATGATCTGAGACTGCGGCAGGATCACTGTGGCTTGGGTAAGGGAAGAGACCTGGGAGACTATTTGGGAGACTGCATTCCAGCGTTGCTGCTAGGAAGTGAGCAGTCACACCTGTCCTCTTGCTGGTTGCTTTGATGATCTTCTTTTTGTTCTTGATGTTTTACCATTTTGTTATGATATGCTTAGACATGGATTTGTTTTTACTTACCCAACTTGGGATTTGTGGTATATCTAAAAATGCATTTCTGTGGAACCAGGCCAAACACACACACAAAAAATGTGTTGTCTATCAGGTTACTGTCCAAAATAAAAATAAACACATAAATAAATAAATAAATAAATAAATAAATAAATAAATAAATAAATAAAAATGTGTTGTCAGCTGGGGATGGTGGCTCATGCCTATAATCCCAGCACTTTGGGAAGGCAAGGCAGGAGTTGGAAACCAGCCTGGGCCATATAGCAAGACTCCGTCTCTACAAAAAATTAAAAAATTAGCCAGATGTGGTGGCACCCACCTTAGTCCCAGCTACTTGGACAACTTAGGCAGGAGGAGCCCTTTAGCCCCGGAGCTGGAGGTTGCAGTGAGCTATGATCATGCCACTGTACTCCAGCCTAGGTGGCAGAGCGAGACGCTATCTTAAATAAATAAATAAATGAATAAATAAATAAAATGTGTCGTCTTCCAACAATTCTGGAAAATATTCTCACGATGTCTCTTTTCCACTTTCTCTATTATTTCTCTAAACTTCACCTAGACATCTATTAGACTTTCATACCTCTTATTTTTTCTTTCTAATATTCTCTTTCAATCGCTGCATGGTGTTGTGATTTTTTTTCACTTCTATCTTTCATTTCACTGATTTTTCTCTCTTTTTTTTTTTTTGGAGTCAGAGTCTTGCTCTCTTTTTTTTTTTTTTTAAAACCTATAGCAGATGCAAGAGTCTTGCTCTCTTGCTCCGGGGAAGAGTGGAGTGGTATCATCACAGCTCACTGCAACCTCAAACTCCTGGGCTCTAGTGATCCTCCCGCCTCAGCCTCACAGAATGCTAGGATTACAGGCATGCGCCACCGCACCTGGCCTCTTATAAACTGTTTCTTAGGAGCTTAACTTAAGCCTGTTTCTGGGGTTACCCTTG